CGTACGCCGCCCCGTATCTGTACGGTGATCTACATAGGCCACCAGCGCCTCCTTGTTCTTGGGCTGTTAACGCGGGTCCATGTCCATTTGCGTCAGAGCCTCTCCAGAGGGGGCCTAAGACCCCCAGGGGTACTGGTGGTTTCTATCTGTTTGCCATTTTCGCTTGCACGACAGGATACGGAGTATTACGGAGGGAACTGCAGGTCCATGTCAAGAATTGTTTTGAACGTCCCCGGGAGCAACCCCATCCAGAAACTCGAAGAGATGGATGCTGGAGTTGTAACCAGCCCCCTCAATTATGTCGGGGAGGGAATCGGGAGGGAAATAATCCAGTGTACTGCACATGGTGTGCCTGCGGCTGTTTGGGCCATGCACAGAGAACCGGAAGTCGACTATCTTTCCAGCTCTTCCTCAGTTCAAGTCAGGTGCAACCAGCAGGTTCTCCGACTAGATGTCTCTGTGAATGACATGCTTTGAATGGCAATAGGTCAGAGCCTTGGCGAGCGATGTGATACATGTTGCAGGTCGCATTTCGCTGAAATACTGGCAGTTCTCCAATTCCTTATAGAGCTCTCCCTTCTCTGCATACCCAAGAATGAGATAGACGCGATCGTCGCGATGGTTGTCGTCATAAGAATAAGCGTACAAGCGCAATACGTTCGGGTGTCACAAATGACTCTTGAGTTTAAATAATCCCTCTGGACCTGATGCTCGACGTTGAACTCTTGAAGCTCGGCGTTCGACAACACTTTTGACAGCCACAGTTCAATCCCTGAGAGTGAGCCGAGTGAAAATGGTGCTGCTGCGGTAATCGGTGCATAGTTGTTCTTTTTTTTCTTTCTGTTTTTCGTTTTCCTTTTTCTCTTGCTGCATAGTTGTTCTATTTCAGACCAAGATCTATTTTTGTTGTGTTTCTCTCTTTTTTTTTCAGTCAAGTTGTACGAGTTTACGAGCTTTGCGAACGGGTAATCTTTACTTCAGTATGGGAATACATAGCTTCAGAAGTCACTTGAGATGTTATGGATAAGCCACATGAATGGGTTTGCAACTTTGAACCTTGCACCGGGTCACATCTGTGCATCCTATGGTAGTGTTTTACTCATCTGCTAGTTCGAACTCAGGACCTGGTGGAGATCGAACTCAGGACTCTATGTACCAACCGAGCTAGGCCAGTTGGCACACAGGTGTGCATCCTACCTTCTTCACCCCAATACGACATACGGTCATTATAGCTGTATTGGGGGTATCTTTTAGTCTAATCACAGCGATAATGACGGTACGTTGTATTCAGGCGAAAGAAGGTAGCGATGTCATCCCGGAGGAACACACAAATGACTTTTCAGAATGCCGAAGATTCAAAGCGGGGGTCAGATTAGACAAGGCAGGACAGACTCCTCAACGAGTCCTCGCTGTGTTCTTGCCTGTGGCTGTATCGTACACACGTAACTATTGATATTAGACAGGTCAAGAGTCCAAATTCCGCCGTTTGAAATCATATTAGGGCCCTTAGGGGCCACCCCCCTTTAGAAAAGGGAAAAGAAAAGAGAAACTCCTTAGGTGTGCTGGAGACGCTATTAGTTAGTATGGTTTTGCCCTGTTCCCGCCTGGTGGGTGAATCGTATAGCACCGAGAACAGATGATACGCGGACCGGAAGCTCAGATCTTGACGAAGGCCA